GAAGAGTGTACAATATACTGTACATAGTCAGTAGAATGAGTGACATGGCGAATAAGTCGGCTAAAGGAATACGCTACAAGATATCATCTTCTTATTCCTGTTCACTCTACTTTGGTGAATCCTGTACTCGTAGTTTATACTGGCTATTTTTTTCCTCTGTCTCAGTGTCGAGTTTTTCTTCCCTATCTCCACGGTGTGGACTGACGTTTAATTAATATATTATTATTATTATTATTATTATCATTATGTTGCAGACCTCCACCCATAGTAACAGATGGAATTTTTTGTGCAAGCCTATTGTTGACGACTATAATTGGTCAATGAATGATTGATTGACATACATTGCAGTCGGTTGAAGCGATGAGATGCGTAACCTTTTCTACTCGTATTGTATTATTCCATTGAACTATTTGAATACAATCAATCCGCCTATTGTTCATCATAATTGTCAGCTATTATTGGGACGGTGTTATTTTTATTTCTCCTCCTCTCTTCTCTCATTACTTATTTGTGTAAGCAAAAGCCATTTGCCGTTAAGTAGTAATTACCTCATATAGTGTGGAGTCAAATAGAGCAAAAAGCCCCCGGTCCAATCAGTAGTAGAAAGCAAATTTCAGGCAACGCTTGTCTACTACGAGTGTTTCATTCTATTCTCAGTAGCATCGATCGAGCAACATTGTACGTAGTAACAAGCACGGCAAGAGTTGAGCTCAACCCGTCCACCATTGACTTGCTATTATTTCACGCAAATCCGTTAACGGTGAGTAGTGGATTTTTTTTTTCTGTCATATTCGTCAGGCCATAACGGTCCATTTTGCATCAAGTTGATTGGATATTTAAAGCGGAGTCGAGCAACAGTTGAAAGAGTGTAGAACAAATCGACAGTATTACTGAAGCTTATACCAGTTGTCAGTGAACAAAGTGGCATAACATGATGTGAATGATTTCCTTCAATACTGTGGTTAATTGATTGCTTTCTTTATTCAAATTGTTCAACTAGTTTGGCCAAAGAGTTCCTTCCAACAACCGCGTGGTAGATCTTATTGCCATCTAGCCTGGATACACATTCATCAATCAACGTTCATTTGCACCACTTTGTGGGTAAGTTGTAGACTCTACTCTATCGATGCCTTATCAAAGATTGTCCATCGATGCTAACGGCGAGAATGTCATGTATACTGTCGACGATTGATTTTTGGGGGGGTGAGGGGGGGCGACTCGTCCAATGATATTCTTTCTCCTTCTTTCACCTAATGTGCTTACCTCTCACGCTTGTAGAAGAAGACATGATGGGGCAGTTGGATAATATTACGTGAGAATCTGGACTTCGCATCCTTGTATTCCTTTGTATACAACAACGTTTGCATGTTTGATCTAGGCCATGTCGGTGGCATGATTGACCTAGTACGTCACTTTTTGGCGCAATTCTGACTTTTCAAACTTTTAGTCATGGTGAATTGAGTTGTCATCAATTCATCAAATACTCTCTTTCGATCGATTACAACTTGTTCACCAATAGAGCAAAATACAGTAGACTCCTTTCTTAAATGGATTTCTTACCCTTCAGACAACAACCCAAAATGAAGACGATACATCGATTCATTGAAGTTGACTTTCTCTTGGTCACTTTGAATTCATGGACTGTTTATAGCTATATTGCATTTCCTGGTGGTACAGTACTGTCAAATCGCAATGGGAATCTATTTCAATCGATGGAGAATCAGAAAAGATTGCTTTAATCAATTGTACTATAGCTTGGACACCATCTCAGCATAGAATAAAAGTAGGGCTGATGATAAGAGCATGCAAATTCATGCTTCGATTTGTCATTGATTAATGTACGCCTGTGCCTCAAAAGTTGGACATTGTACACGTATCTAGAAGTAGAATCATTCGATCGGATAGCGACATGCTATGCACATTCATCAATTGACTGTTTCAATCTATTCCTGGTCAATGGAAACCACCTGAAGTTGTACGAGTTGTTCACAACGACTACAATCGATGCATCACCATGTTGCATATTTGAAAGTTAACGATGAGTACAATTTGAAAAGTAACGATAATTGGATACAACGTTAAATCGGTGTTTCTACTCCAGTGTGGGTGTACTGTAGGCAGCAATCCAACTCAAAGGGTTACGTACATCTTATTTTAATGAAGGTATTACTTTAGATTTCCTGTTACGTTGGCAGACAAATCGATTGGTCATGTTGTAGACTACTTGTAGTGTAGCTACAGCATGATGATGCATTGGTTGTTGGTGTTTATATGTTGTGTAAGTCATTTTGTTTAAATCCGTCCTTTTCTATCGTAACTTAATTGACTCGCTTGCTAACATGGGTTGTAATCCGTAGTTGGAAGACTTTTGTTAATTCGTTACTACCAATTAGTCGTATGCAATAAAAATGAAAACAGTTGTGAATGAAAAGAAAAAATAAAAATCAATTACACTACGTATTAATAGAATTTTATCTCTATTCTCTGTTGTTGCCTTTGGTTTGGCGTTTTATAGCAGAGATTATTAAATTTATGAAATAGAAGAAAAGAAAAAAAAGAAATGAGAACCTTTTATATATTTTTCTATGGATGTTTTCTATTTTTAATACACAACCTTGTATTTTTATTTTATTTTCTAAACATGAATTTCTATTTTCTCCTTCTTGCTGTATTCTACATCAATCAGTATACAGCATAGTCTTTCTAATAATTTCTTTTCTCTCTCTCTTCCCCCCCCCCCCTTCATGCCATATTAATCTTCATCGCTATTTCCATTGAGGTTTGGCGTTATTGTTGTCTTGTTTGATAGGAAAATGCTTCATTTGAAATTATAATAATCAATATGACAATATGAAGATCGTTTGCTATACTTAGATTATGTTGTCGGCCGTACTGTATTTTTATTTATTTTTATTGGCCTCCATTTGTGGAGATAGCGTACATTTTTTTTTTTTACAGCATTTCTTTTTTGAATGCCAGTGTCCCCCTCGTTTTGACAGACGGACAGAAGGACATTGTAGCTTATCGCAAGAAAACGTCATCCACAGTATCGAAGGCTGTCTGAGTAGGCATATCGGTGAGCCCGCGCTTTTTTATTCATTTGCTGGTTGGAAAAAGCAAAGCGATTTCTACCATCATTACCCCCTCCAATTTGTTTTTATCGGTGTCCAACGCTTTGACTATTTTGACATATTGAATAAAGGATGAGCATTTTATAAAGTCAGTTCCAATTGGAGATGGAATGCCTACGCAAATTAACTAATGGCATTCTCGTCATCGTCTACGCTTAGATTCCTGCATCGTGAGTTGGTGTCGACTGACTCGTCCGTGATGATTGAAAACAATGATCATGTCGACACGTCTACTGTTGTCACTTGAATGGTAGTCCTTTATTCTATGTATTGTGTAGGTTGCCCGCGGTGGAGTGAACCGACTCCACCACGTACAGTACCGTATCGAATGACGCACAGTCCAAGCGATTTCATTGACGGTCAATAGCAGTATCGTTGATTGAGTGAACAAAAGAATGGAGATAATACAACTGCTTTGCTCTAAGAATAATGATTGGATTGTCAGGCGCAACGTTGATCAATAGGATTGAACTACTGTAGTAGCGAAGCATAAAGACGAGTCAATTTTCTATTCTATTCATCGTTCTTTTCTTCACCAACTCCTTTTGTTCTTGTCGCTTCAATTGCATTCTTTTCAACTGTTGAATGTCGCCAGTCAGCTTCATTCACAGTAGTAAGTTGATCCCTGTCAAAGAAAAAAAAAAACAGAAAAAATTTGCCTCAGTGAAGAGAGAGAGAGAGGGAAAGGGAACCCTTAAAAAAGAGTAATTTGTTCATGCATACTGCATGAAACGATTATCCCGCCAGGACGGTAAGTAGTCAGTCGGCTAATAGTAGTAGCAATGGAGCGATGCCATTGCTTTTTCCACTCGTCACTTGCAATTGCATTTTTCAATACAACGCGACTTGAAATCATTTTTCCTCCTTTTCTTTGGACATTCTTTCATTGTATTGTTGGTGTACTCCAGTTTAATTGTCTTTATGTTTTTTTTAACTGGATCTAATTTAATCGTCTTTATAGACTTTTTAACCTTTCCTTGTGTTTTTGTATGTCAATTTTAAATTTTTATTGAGGCTACTATCAATGTAGGACTTGATTTCTTGTCCATGCCACTTTTCAATGTCAACTTGCCTATGTTTTGAGTAAATGATTCAATTGACATTCATTTGCTTCAAACCAATTATTTCAGTCATAGAACATTCATAAGATAGCGTCCAGCATATTGTTGTTAGCTTCAATTTGACACTAACGACGATCACTGTCATGATTTATTTTTTGACGGCCGATTATTCCATACCATGTAGATTGTCAATCCAGTACAAGAGTGGAAAGAAATTCAAGCTCAAACCTGTAGGATAAACTACTCCATTCTATTCAACCATCATCATACAAAGAATCAATACAACTTCAACGCTAGACGTAGCTTGCAATCAATTACTTTGAAAGCAAATCTTGCAGTTATTAATTATCCCCCCCCCCCCAAAAAAGAAAGAAAAATACAGAAAGGTACGTCTCATACAGCCTACTGTAGCGCACATTTCCACCACTGCTTTTTTGGGGGCTGATATTAATGTGTATGTATGTGTGTACTGGACCAATTTTTTCCTAGTTATCGTCCTATGTATCGTTGATCATGATGGATACAGGCATACAATAGAATAGCCCAGTTATTGCATTACAAGCAATCAACATTCTTATTTTCGTACTCCATATTTCCTTATTTTCAATGTGAAATTGAACTTTCCTTTAAAAGTCTTGAATGTTGAACTCACTTAGACATAGTCGTACACTGCATACCCTAAAATAATATGCAGCGCCTTTTTTCTATTAGAATTATACAAAACTTTTTAAGCTTGTTAAAAAAGATTGTAATGCTACTTGATTAATTGTTATTATTTTGCATTCACTAACGTCTCTTCTAAATAGCCATGTCAAAGTCGAACAGTGATCACGTTAAGCGTCCAATGAACGCCTTTATGGTATGGTCGCGAGTTCAAAGACGCAAAATTGCTCAAGAAAATCCTAAAATGCACAATTCTGAAATCAGTAAGCGCTTAGGTGCAGAATGGAAGATGCTATCTGACATTGAAAAGAGGCCATTTGTTGATGAAGCCAAACATTTAAGGACTCAACACATGAAAGATTTTCCAGATTACAAGTATCGACCTCGTCGTAAGCCCAAATCATTAATAAAGAAAGATAGGTAAATTAGTGTACTTTATAAGTGGATATGTATATTGTTAAAAAAAAATAGTGTTGTTTTATGGATTGTATACGGCATAATGCTGTTGTTGTCGCCGTCAAAAGCGACTCATGTTATTCAAGTTTGTTACACAGTTTCCAATGATAATTGTTGACGTACATTAATCTAGTTGAGATTGAGTGTGGTTTCCAAATGGTAGCGATTTACCTGGAGGATTCATCATAACATTTCTTTTCATTTTTTACTGCCTTTCGTGCTCACCTTTAAAATCTCTATCATACTTGATGATATATATTACACGTATTGGCCATAGAGCACTTGAACTGTTTTCGCTAAAACAGTGTCAATCATTGATTTACAGTCGCTACAAGCTGTTCTACCGGCATGTAGCTTTCTTTTAAACGCAACAATTGTTTACAAGTGTTACCATCGAGTTTGTTCAGTCTGCGATAGTGAGAGTTTACAGCTAAGGGTACTACTATCGCATTCAATTTGCAATACATTCTAGACTGAAGGGTTGTTTACAGCATTGACGTTGTACTGTATAAGTCATATGCCGTACTAGTTGCTTTCATTAATCTTTGTCGTTTAGTTAATTACAGTAAGTACTTGATATCAATCGAATGAATCCTTTCATGCAACAGATATATATATATTGAAGCTTGTAGCAGTGACTGCAAGGATAAAGATTAGTTTGGAGATGGATGATTGTACTCTTTATGATACTATATCATTTTAATTGATTATGCGTGAAATCCAATCTCGTATTTGGTAATTTTCAAATAGTCATTGTCAATTATGAATAACTTTCGTGTAGCCTCATCTATTCAATTAGGTATTGCATCAAATTTCGTAATTTATTTCATGATTCAATCTCTATTCAGTGTTAACATGTAGGAAAGTTATTTTATTCTATCGATGGCCTATTTAACGATATACCAACCCATACAGTACACCGGTAATGGGCACGAGCTGCTACTGTACATAGTTTACTGTATCTGGCTATAGTTATAGACGATTGCTTGATCGGCGATCCTATAGGCAATAGATCATTCGCATTTTGGTGTTCCTTGGCAATCTACTATTTTAATATTGAATAGGTCGCATCATATCAAAATTGTACTATGACAAAGTTACAACGCTAAATGCTATGTGTTCATTTTTGCAAACAAGTTCCTTTCGAATTGAAGCTGTTATGATTGCTGGATGAGATAGATAATAAATAACTTTATTTGGATACACAGTATCTATCATTCTATACAATTAACATGGTTTTCATTGGTTGTACGTATTCAGGGCGTTCGTTGCAGTGCCTACATCTACATATCCTATGGATCCAGCAGTTGCTGCTGCTGCTGTTGCCAATCAGAGAGCTGCCGGAGGTGTTGACATGCAAGGTGGTAGTGGTTCGATGAGGCCAATGACAACCGAGGTTATGAACAGCAATCAGATCTACAGTTACCCAACTATGGCTGCAACCGGTGGGCCAGTTTTTGTTAACGGAACAACGATGCCTTCAGTGATGTCAAATCAATCGGCACCACATGGGGCTGCTGCAGGAGGATACTTCGTTCCATATTATCAAACATCTCATCAACCTATGCCAGGATACATTATGGTCAAGCAGCAACATGATCAAGCACCTGCTACTGGTGCTCCAGCAGGCGGTGGCGGTAATGCTTCCCAATCGATGGTAGTCAATCCACAAGGACATCCACCCTATGTTAATCAGGTTCAGTCGTCTCGGCCTGCCAATCCTGGCAACCAAAATAACGTTGAATACCTGTAAGAGTGAGAAATTAATAAATCATAAAATCATATTAAAATTTTAGTGCAAAGGGAAATAACTTATAGTTCACGCAGACAAGAATAATGATGTAAACATAGACATGATGGAACGACATTGGTACTATTCCGTAAAGTGAATTAGTTTATGCTACAATCGTGGTGGTATCGTTGGTTTTCTTCTGACTGTTTAACGTAGTTTTTTACTTTTGGCCTATGTAACATACAGTAGAAGCCAAATTGGTCAGGCGAAGGAGTTTGATTATATGATTGGCCTTCATCATAACGTGCATACATTTATTTTCGGTTCGGCGTTCTGCAGAACATGGTCATCATGCTGTAATTCTCCTATCGCAAAATTATACAGGTTAACTTAGTTATATCGAAAATAATAGCGTTCATAACTTGTTCCAGTTATGAAAATGATAATGTTTGGATAGCGTTTTTTAATTGTTTTGATGGGCATAAAGTTTATAGGGAATTGTTGTCTTTAGAGCGATATTAAACGTATTTGTAATATTAGTGCTCTTGACAATAAAGTGAAATTAATAAGGGTGTAGTCATGATAGGAACGATATTTTTCACTTTAATAGTTATAAGAACCTTGAATTCGTATGATATTGTCGTTATATGTAGAGTGATATTATAAATTGAACCTACTACTATTATAATTAATGTGTATATTACTTTACAACTGTATGGTAATTGTTCTCAATATATTTACAATACTGTATCACGACAAAATTTTTATTGCCTTTCAATTCTTACCGTCTGCGTTATGCTGTTTTCTCTTGAATATGGTAGCACTTTGTTATTATAACTTTTTTCTTTCTTTGTCTTCTTAACCATTGCATTGTTATCATATTTCCCTTTTCTCGTTTTTTTAAATTATCAATGCTTAGTACTGCGACTTTCAATTAATGTCTTCCCTTGATCAACTTCTAGGAAGGGAAATAGTAATTAAGCTATGATTAATCAATGGGATAATTAGATGTAATAGCTAACTATGTTTATGGTACATTCTCTTTCCAATGTAACTTTGTAATGTAGCGAAAAGGTCAATGATAATGGTAGATGTGTTCTATCGGTTTCCTTTACATGTTACAGCCTCTTTAAAGATATTTTGTTCTATTTTGTTCTCTATAAAATTATAACCGTTTCTGTTCTTTGTCTCTTTCAATATTTTTCGCACCTTTCGCGGTGTCGTGACACTTTTACGTCAAGTCGAGGTTAAAAATATGATTCTCATGCTCCATAATCTATACTGATTGTACATAACAAGGCTGTGCAATCATCGTAATTGAAGGAATGGCTATGATGCTGCTTTTATCATGATTGTAGTATGTTGTAACGATTGCTAATACATTCTCTCATAACTATTGCCTAGTCATTAACAGTATTAATTTTGTCGAAGTAGCTATATCTGGAACTCCTTCTAGGGAATTATATAAGAGAGTTTTTAATCAAGAAGAAATATTATGTAATACTTGAATGTAGTTTGATAGTAAAGTAATAGATATACTGATTAATGTTACAGATCTGCTAATGTGATGAGTTGTAGTAGTTAGTTTGATATTGATAACTGTTTTGTCTCAAATTCTTTTTATATTGCGATGGTAACGTTAGTAGCTATACTAATATAATTAACTTGACTTGGCTTATTTGTCTTTAGTTTTCTACTAGCCATTGGTATATCATTAAGAAGCAACTTCGGTCCATCGATATTTTAGTTTATCGATGGGTAACTATTACCAAATTACACAATATATTGACGTAAAAAAACTTGTTGGGTGAAACGATTAATTACTGTATAACTTAAGTTTAAAAATAGAGTTGAATGCGTTGAACTGCATGTTTGGCGTAAGACGTAAAATAAAAAAATTATTAACACTAGACTCATCAATTTGTCCTTGCACTGCTCTAAGTTTGTGAGTGTTATGGATGATATTCAATGATTACCTTTTATTTACGGCTTGACTGATGGTAGTATATACTATTTTAGAAAATAGTATAGCAACAGCATTTGGCTGCGCTCAGCGAACTATTTTTGTGTTATTATTTCTGATCAGAAGTACATCAGTGCAGTAGCAAAAATAGTTTATGGACCCGCGTATACAATGGCAATGTTGACCTTCGAGTACACTTTATTCACATTTGAAAAGCAATATCATCAAATAAAAAGGCGGTGCAGCTCATTTTTGATCACTAGTCATCTAAACTGTAGGTACCATAGTGAGCACGATAGCTATTTCAGTTAATTCACCTGTTTAATTTGATTGTAATCATATTCATTTTACACTTGTGCATCGTATCAGCCCATCTAGTTAGGGTATACGATGGTTATCATGCATGCATTGAAAGTGCTCGAGTAATTATTTCTACGTTTAGATTGTATTGAATGTTAAGATATTTTATTTAGCTGTTTGTCCTTGATAACGGTCCGCCGTTATAATTCATTAGTAGATATTGAACTATTACATTTGTTGAAATACACTATAAACAGGATTTAGAATACAGAATTTAAATAAGAAATTATTACTTGCACGCACTTTCGAATTTATTGATAAGATGAAAACACTTTTATTATACTCTCAAGCAATTTTATTAGTTTATTTGTGATCATTCTTCAATAGCATAAGTCTACCTATCGATTGATCTTTCAGCATTATTAGTGTATCGACACAACCATTTTCTTTCATTAGCATTCTTTAATTGATTTCCTGATCTATTATTATCATTACCGGAGTGATTTATTGGGATAGTATTTAAAATTTGCCTTTCGATTTCATTGATTTTAATTATGTTCGATCGAAATCAAAGGAAAATGTCACACATCATAAATATTCCAAACTTTTTATTACTGCTATTGTATGCAGTCTTCGATTGAACTTCTAGTATATAAATGCTTATCAACTTGAGATAATATGGATTCATTATAATATACTATGTAATGGCCTTGGTTTCAAAACAAATAACATTTGTTGTCGTTTCCTATGCAATTTATATCAGTGTTGTAATGTAGAAGTCGTCAACCGATGAATGATGACATGATAGGGAAGATGCTGATTAATTAATAATCTTGGTTTAGCTTTAGTCGTCTGTTATCCTTTTTTTAGTAGAATATGATAATAAATCGTACATAAGTTACCGTAATTCACTAAATTGGCCCGGAATCTATATATTTCTTGGTAGCAATAACATCTAATTCAACTGATTTAT